ACTTGTAGGATTCCCGTAGAACTCCCGTAGGATCCTACTTGCTATTAGGGTAGTATCAATGTGTTTTTTACCCATTTTCAGTGATCTAAACGGCGCTACTTCGGCCTTCTCATTTGTATTTTTCACTGAGCAGTAATAACTTTCTATTGCAACGTATGTACAGTGACTGGGGCTGCATCATATTCGGACGCTGTTCAGTATACGTCTATTAATTTGGACGCAACAAAAACTTCTGCTTGAAGTTCTGTTGATGTCTCCGGCGTTTAATATATTTGATAACATTCGCAGACCTAGCTGGAATCACGATATCACGTTTAGAGGTCTTGGATTGCTGAATACATTCCATAAGTGTGACCAACTAATTAAATAGAAATTGACTTTGAATTTTCAAGTGTCTCTTCTGATCATTCTACATTCTCATTGGTGGTTGCTGACGTGCACAGTGTCATCATTTAGAAATGGCTTCGAAGCAGATTCCCAATGATATTTCGACAATTCCAAAGTTTAAGGTTGTCGTTGTTGGCGATGGTGGCGTTGGGAAGTCTGCACTTACAATACAAGTATTTATTGTTTTTACGATCTCACTTAACCACTATAGTATTTCCAACATATGTTTATTGAGGATCATAATCCTACTATTGAGGACTCGTACATTCAGAATGTGGAAATCGATGGCGAGTGGTGCGTGCTCGATGGTGAGCTCAATCCTTATTCTATCGGATTCATATGCATCTATCGTGCAATTGTTAATGTTTCAACAACGCTAACATCTGTACCCCGAATTACTTCCTTACGAACATTATTTGGCGTCGGAATTCAAGTTGTATTTGTAATGCGATGCTTATGCCTTGCTTCATTAATATTTAGATATTTTCCAGACAACCTATTAGCATAAACTCGTTGAGTCAATTTTAGATAAGTGTACACACTTCTGATTCCTTCTTTTTGTAGTTGTTTTCGTGCAGAAACTTTCATCGGCTTACCTATTAATTCCTTCGAAATTTTTACACCTGACAAGCTGTGATAACCAAGCCTATTTTATCGCCGTTAGAGAATGCATCCCTTTCCACGTTACGTGGATTTTAGGAGAAAATGCCAGACTTCATGGCTCAGGTTGTGCAAACGATGATTTTCTTGCAGATGAGTTTGTTTATTGCAGTGATATGTCTACGATTGGGTCTTGACTATGACAGTAGATAGTGTTTATAAATCCTCTATTAGAAAAGCGGTTAGTACTAGTAGCCAGCAAATGATTAAAATGACAAAATGTATTTGGTAAAAAGCAGACACTGAACCAACAGTTAAACACTGAAAGGGCATCAATTGCAGCGGGTAAACCCAAAGTCAAAAAAATGGCAATTGTATATCCGTTTAGTTTAACACAAACTTACTATCAAGTGTAAATTTTTGTGCCGACTACAGACCATGGATGCGAAAGTCTGTGTTCCAGGTGTATGTAAAATAAAGGTTGGTCAAGCCACGGACCGGTTTCCTTTTTATTCGAAACCTGATTACTTAACTGCTAAATAAGTCGAAAAGGAAACGATCGAATCATTTTTGAAGAGACCCGTTATGACCCCCAAATTAGCAGTTCTTGTTCTACTTCCTAGTTGTCATTATGCAGTTTAAACAATATCTAAGTAATACCTTAATTTTCACCTGCATCTTTACTCGGTTGAATCTACCCAATCGAGTCTGTTACGGTCATAAGTAAAGCCACAGTGAAATTGTTTAATTTACCACTAGTCCCTACTCTTACAGTCCACTTGGGCTCTAGCACTAAAAG